GACAACTGTATAGATTCCGCGGAAAAGCCAGGGGAGATGCGGAGTTCGGCGAACAGACTTTTGCGGAGAATGCGATCTGAAAACGTCGCAATCTCCAAATAGGGGGAATGTATCGACGAAATATATCGTTTCGTATTCTCATCGCGTGTAGTGCATTCAAGATATTTGCTCGTTCGCTTCTCGTCTCGTCTCGCGTTCACACGGAGTGTCTCTTTCGGTCGTGGAAAAAACAATTTCGTTAGTAACTGAATTTTCCTTAGCCTAGGGACTGAAAATTCGGTTGTACACAGAAAAAGAAATATTATTTAAGTTCTTATATATAAGCAAGAGTATATAATCAATAAGATTATCAGTCGGAATATGTAATCTTGCTTACATGAGAAAATTCTATACAGCTTTCACTGAAAGCATCATATTTTTATTATTCAAGAATAATTTTTATGAATTGAAAGGAAAAAATATTGGATAAAAAGAACAATATTTTCAAACCAATACAACTCTTAGCTTGAAGATATCGTTTTTCCTATTCAATATTTTTTCCTTTCAATTCATGAAAATTACTCTTGAATAACAAGAATATGATATTTTTAGTGAAACTAAATAGAATTTCATCATATAAGAAAGTGTTATCTTCTTTATCTTTATATATAGGATTATATATTCTCACTTGTATATGAGAATATGTAAATGTTGAATTGATACTAATTTTTTTTATAGAGAAACAGTAAAATCCCTGTAGGAGGTTTCTGTTCAGCCAATTACTGTCAATAGTCTCAACCGAATTTTGATGCAGCTGAATTTGTTCACGCGAACGTACTTTTAGTCGCATTAAAATAATAGCAAAAATATAATAAAACATAACGAAAATATCATTTCTTATCGTCGAGATTTCGTTTCTCGAGTTTTCACAGAGGTCCCTATTAATTTGCGGAAACTGAGTCTTTTTCCGCGTGTGAGAGGTAGCCGAAAAACCTGGAATCGATCACGATCGGCGTCGAATACGTCGAGAATACGGTTCGTTGCCACCCGGGAGAGCTCGCTCGTTCGCTCTAACGAGACGTCAGTTTTCCGAAAGGTTCCAGAGCACGCGTCGGGTCGTGCGAGATCGCAATGCTAAAATTAGAACAGCTCTCGTCCCCGCGTCTCTCTCGCCCACGAACTAGGCTAGCCGACCCGAGGAGCATTGGGTCAGTTAGTTTCGTCTACCGGGCCTATCGGTTGCACACGAGAAGGGAAAAGTCGGGATCCAGGCCCCGATAAACAAACCTGACCCGCTTCGGTTCTCTCTCTCTCTCTCTTTCTCTCTCTTTCTCTTTATTTTTTCTCTCCGTCTTTCTTTCTCGCTCCTCTTTTATTCCCAACTCTCAGGCCAGACACACACGCGCGTGAGAACCTTACGACATGCGGTTAGGTTTCTCCTACCGCTGGTCGAAGCTATATTAGTGGGGAAACTGGCCACGAGCGTATATTATCCTCTCTTCCTTTCCTCGTTCTCCTCTTCCTCCTCCTCCTCTTTCTCCTCTTCCTACTTCTCCTCGTGAGTAACTTGCAATCGCGGCACGTGGATCTACGTAAGCTAATTTTTTTTATGATATATCACACTATCGTGTGATAGTCGTCTTGAAAAACAAGTGCTTCCTTCTGCGTCTGTAAATTGCCGGGACGAAGAGCGTAGAATTTTGTGCTGATTTTTCCCGGTGATGATACAAGAAACGAGCGGATTTTAGCGATGTTGAATCTTATTGTGAGTCGATGTGTTCAAGACGGCGTGTCGCACTTGCGGGGCAGTCTCTCAATGAGCGATAGGCAAATTAAAAAGATGATTGTTACAACAGCGTTAAGTTCCGCGAGAATAAGTAAGATAAAGAAGTATGTGGAAGAAATGGAAGTGCTTTAAATGCTAATAAACGAGCGCGCGATATCGCGTAAATGCATTCGCCGATACGCTGAGAGAAAAATACTTTGTGACTATAATCATTGACAATGAAAAAAATTATAGTTAGAAAGACCGTTTTTCTAATGAGTGTTACTACAATGTCAGCGATAATAACCTTATATATATATGTTATTTTACTGCGCAATATTCCTTACGACGGCGATTTAGTTGGCATAAAGAGCATAGACTCTCTTGCTAGCCAAATTAGCGAATTATTCGTAATTAAAGCAGAAACAGTTTTGTTGACGGCATAGAAAAATTCTACCGAGTGAATCTGTCCTTAGAACACGTTAATTTGCCGTTAGAACAAAATAATGTTTTCCCACGTTTATTAATTATTACAGCAAAATAATTTCTAGATCCAGCAAAATAATGCAGCGAGCGGCGATTAGTACTCATAATAAATCGTTTCGCTGTCCACGTAGTACCTAACTAACAGATTTCGCTACGACAGCATGAGATTTGCCGGCGGAAATGATTCTTCTCCCTGAGGTTAAAATCACGTGGGAAACAAAAAATCTGGTTGCATTAACCAGAAAGGAAACAACCAGATGCGTTCTGGTCGTAGGGACCAGAATCCCTGGTTCTTATGGTCCAAGTATGGTCTCTTACAACCAGAAATTCCGTTCCCTTCAGCCAAAGTGCATCTGGTTGTCCCCTTCTTCGTTAATACAACTAAACTTTCCTCGCATAAAAAGAATATGTTTGAGCTCCGAAAATAACTACGATTTCTCTCAGCGCGGGGCAACCTGCGAAACGCAAAGCATCTCCGGCAGCGTTAGATTCGCGAAATGCTTGTTTTTTCGTCGACTTTCCCTCCAGCTCTCCGATCGACCGATGTTCACGATCGTTTCGCCAAGTTCGAAGTCGGCCAAGGGCTACCGGGCGTCACCCCACCGTTTTTCAACGAAAAATCGACAAGGAAAGGACGAGCATCGCGACATTCGCGGATTCGTCGGCTCGCGAATCGAACCGCGAAAGTCACTGGCGGCATCGCTCTCGGATTCTCCTCGGTGAAAGATAAACAAAGACGACGACAACGACGGCCGATGACGGCGGCAGCGGCAAGCCGGTGTTAGCTTAGAAGAATGAAAGGGATCAACGTCGGCGCGGCGGTGGTCGCTATGGTTAAAGAAGGACTGACCCCCACGACTGTCACGTTTAATTTATATGTTAATGAGGAGCGCATGTCACATTTCAGCCGCCCCGCGCACACCTCATCGGATGCATGCGACGAGCGAAGAGGAGGAGAGTCGCCCCACGTTCATTCCACTTCTCCTGCCCTCCTTCGTGCCGCCACGGGTTTATATTTAACCGCGCCACACACCATGGCACCCGACGCAGCCCACTTTGCTGCATTACTCCTGGTGCATCTCCGTCTCTTTGCCTCTCTCTCTCTCTCTCCCTCCCTCTCGTTCTCCCTCTGTCGTTTTCTCTCGCTCTCCGACTTCTCTCTCGCCCCGCTCTTCTCGTCCTTTTTCTTCTATCGCGGCAGTCCCCTTTTCCCTTCCTCCTCTTCCTCCTCCCCGTCGTCGTCGTCGTCATCGTTCTCCTCCCGCTCGCTTCGCGGCTACGCTCGTTTTCATTGCGCCAACAACGGGCCAGAGCCCAGCTTGTGCCACGTTTTGCGTACACGCGTGCGCTCGTTTACTTTCAAGGAAAGGGCGGACTCGCGGTCTCCTCCCACGTTACGGTTACGCTGAAAGAAATCAGCGGTGCCGAGGCGCGCGCAGGGCCGATAAGCGGATGCAACGACACGCCGTCTGCGCGCGGTAGAATTGCACGTGGCCGCTTAAATTAGTTGTATCGAGCGCGATCGTACCTGAGACGTGGATATCGCGGCTCGATCGCGCATCGTTCTTGGATAGAAAAATGCGCACTCTATAACGCGCGAGTGATAATGAGTAACGAGCGTTGATGAAAATTCGCGCTTTCGGGGATCTTGTGCAATATCACTCGTAACGCGTAGATCGCGTGTAGATCTCGAGCTGTGTTCGCCGAACAGGTACGCAAAACCGGACGTGGCGAATTCAATTACCCGCCGCGCGTCGGCGTCACGCGACGCTAAATAAATCCCGGCTTGCGATTCGATGAATTAAACGATTACTTCATAGCGGGTCCGCGGGGCCGGCGGCGAAATGGGTCGATTAAAAATAAGGTGCGCTCGCAGTTGGGGCGGCGAGGGGGCTGGGAACGGTTTTTGCAAGGAGGAGGAGAGGAGAAGAGCCCGTTGGGCGATATGTCGCGCGTTGATGTACAATCGGCGTCATGTACGCTGTACCATCCCCCGGGCGGAAAATTCAAAACGATTTTCAGCCTTACAGATAACCCATAAGGTTGAAAATCGCGTAAGCAACTTTCGTTATAATGATAGGGTTCTGATGGCGCTACTTACGACGGTGTTTTGACCTTACGTGTATATGGTCGTAAGACGTGTGCAAGGCTGAAAATTACGTAATTTTCGATCTGGAGAATGGTACGGGAGACTCTATTAATGCTGTCCCATTTCCTAGGCACAGTGGCATTAAACATTTCTAATTGGGCTCATCCATTTCTAAATATTTGTGCGTCGTGACTGCTAGTTTGGAGTATCATTGCCGGTTCACCGAATAATCAACAGTCATCATGCATGAATATTCAGAAATGACGCGCCTAATTAGAAATTTCTAATGTCACTGTGGCTAAGGAGTGGGACGGTATTAATGGAGTTCTTCTGTACAGCATGCATAACTATAAGCACTTCGTCGTGTACAGAAGATTCCATTGATGCTGTCCCATTTCGTAGACACAGTGACATCGAAAATTTCCAATTAGGCGCGTCCATTTCTAAATATTTGTGCATCATGACCGCTACTTTTGGAGTATCGTTGCCGGTTTACAGAATAATCAACAATCATCGTGCATGAATATTCAGAAATGATGGCCTAATTGGAAATTTCCGATGTCACTATTCTTAGATAGAACTGAACGTAAGGCTGATAATCGCGTGTATTTCTCTCTCTCGAATTAAGAAATACCGTGGCATATATGACGCTGACTGAACGGTAACAATCGCCCGTTACAGAAATGCTCGGACTACAAGGCTTCGAACGTGAACACCTTTGCGAGGACCGAGCCTCCAGACACGCAGGTGACCAAGTCGGTGATCGCCCTGCTGCTGCACTACGGATGGAACAAATTCTCGATCGTGGCCGAAAAGGCTTGGTCGACGGTGGCCCGTTCGCTGGAGAACCAGGCAGCCGAGAACAACCTCACCGTCAACCATTACCGGCTCGTCGAGGACCGGCACACGTGCTGCGAGGAGAGGATGCCTTGCTGTGAAGTCCCCGTATGGTTCCAACTAATACAGGAGACCAAAAATAAGACCCGCAGTCAGTCCACATTTCTTTACGTTCGCGTTGGCTCGCAAGAGACAGTCGCTGATTATCCGTCAGTCCGACCGAGGTTTCATCGAGGCTTCATCGAGGGTCTCCGCGACTGACTCGAGAAGAAGTCGAAATGGCTCCCGGCGACTGTCTCTTGGGATCCAGCATTAATCTCGTCGATTTCAAACTTAGAGACAGCGCTTTGCTCGCGTTTCTTTGCTCCATCCTACTCGATCAGTTGCATAATTGCACTTACCTTGATCCACGTTGATAAATGCGCGCGGAAGTCTTTCTTTCGTTCACGTTCTTACTCACACGTCTGGTGTTATTCAAAATAAAAAAGACACATGCGAAGAGACTTTGTTAATATAAGGAAAGTAGAATGCACGTGCATTACGGTGATTCCATTCGTTCCGCACTCAATCCGAAATGTTCACGCTTTATTACTTCAGTCTACATCTTCCTGGGTACGGCAATATCATTGATAGATATGATGAATTCGATGCAAAACCAAAAGCTGCTGGACAACGGGGAGTACATGGTGATACACGTGGACATGATGACGTATTCGCCGCGCGAAGCGAAGAAATATTTATGGAGTGAGTAGAGCCCAGCGAGAGAGCTTCCTTATCATACGTCTTATTTATATCTTGGATAATAAACATCGGTGACCGATCGAAACATGTCGTAATCTCGTGTTATTTATAGCCCAACTACGAAGTTAATCTCTTGCTTAAATTCAAGAGGCGCTAGATCACGGATTTATATCCGCCTAAGCGATATTAACCACGCGCGCGATATTTTTTCACTCTCCCCACTCTCACTCAAGTCGTCGTTACATCGCCATGATAATTCGCCATTACTGTCGGCAGAGCCGGAGCACTTCAGTAATCTGAAACATTGCCTCGAACCAAGTAACTTCCTGCAAAAGGCGCGCTCGCTGATGGTGGTCGTGTCGTCGCCACCGACGCAGAATTACGAGGAGTTCACGAAGAAAGTCCGCGAATTCAATTCGAAGGAGCCGTTCAATTTCACGACTCCCGAGCTTCTGAAAAAGTTCGAGAAGGTATTTTTGGACGGTGGCACTTTATCTCCCGCCGAGCGGCGGGAAAACTGGAGCCCCTCGAGAAAGAGTCTGGGCATCGATCGCTTAACTTTTCGAAAAGCATTCAACTTTTCCACGATCTCTTGTTCTAATACTTTTATGCACACAATAAACAGAGGAATCAATTAGTGTTAAAAGAAACTGTATGATTAAGAAACGGAGCTGACCTTGGAATGGCCTTAAATTATTGGCTATACAACGAAATTAAGGTCGCCAACTTATGTTCTCCTCCGAACCCTACACAACTTTTGCCCGAACCATTTTTTCCGTCAATTGCTTCGTTTTCAAGATATTCCATTGTTTCCATTAAAACGAACGCCCTGTATAACCAGGTAAACGGCATATCTATTCTCAAAAGAATATGCCTGAACTCGAGATATATTGTAGACACTCTTCATAGATAAAGATATTCCAGTGACAGACTAGACGCCATTTTTTTTTTGGCCAGACTCTTACTTGAGGGACGACTCCGGGTGAAAAAAAACCGCTCGCAGAACGCACACGCGACTCTCGTTCACACACTCAATTCCCCGTTTCAGTATGTATCCATTCACGCGGCGTACCTGTACGATTCCGTCATGCTGTACGCGAGGGCCTTGGACCAGCTGTTGCGGGATCAACCGAATCAATCGCTGATGGAGGTCGCCGGCAACGGCACCCGGATAATCGAGACGATTATCAAGAATCATACATATCAAAGTAAGTATCTGTAATCTGATAGACGTAATTTGTATCGATAGGATTAATCTCTCGAGTGGTTCGCGCGATCTCCGCCACTTGACAAGGCGGCAATGATGATAAACGGGCAAGAGGCCGATCGCGATCTAAATGCAGATCGATGCGATTCTTAAGTGGAGATCCCACTCGTGTGCTCTTCATTCGCGAACGTTGCTTTCCCGGTCGTCGACCGGCAGAGTCGCGCGCGTCCTCGCGGAAGGAACGATCAATCACTTTTCGCGTTTGCGCCAGGTGTGAGCGGCGCGACCATCAAGCTGGACCAATTCGGCGACTCGGAGGGTAACTTCTCGGTGCTCGCTCTGAAGAAAGAGCCTTTTCAGCTGAACAACTTCACCTGCACATACCAGATGAAGCCCGTGGGCCAGTTTCAGCAGGGTGAAACTCTAGTGAGTGAGTTGTTTGTAGCATTCCAGAAAGGTTTCTCTTACACCCGCACCGGGTTTTGCGCGCGCGCGGAAAAATCATATTCCACATTGAAATCACCGAGCCGTAAAACTTGAACGCGCGCTGCGCGAGATGGCGCCGAGTAAAAACACTATGCGATTGCATAACGCAGGTGTACAGGCCATCGGGGGCCATGGATTGGCCCGGCAAGAACAAGCCGGAGGCCGAACCCGGCTGCGGTTTCTTCAATGAGCACTGCCCGAAGAAGGACACTCATCACCACAGCATTATCGCTGCCGGGGTGCTGGGCGTTTTGGTGATATGCGCCACGGCGATCACCATCAGCATTTACCGAAAGTGGAAGATAGAGCAGGAGATAGAGGGCTTGCTCTGGAGGATCGACTTGAGCGAGATTCACAGTCCGCATCTCGACAACATGATGTCCTCCCCTAGTAAGGTGAGCGGTGCGAATAGCGCGTTCCTGCGAAGCACGTTAACGAAGATAAAAAGATAAAATGACGCTTATGAGATAACGATCGATCACATTTCTAATATATCCCGAGAACTTTCCTCTTTTGCTCCAGCAAATATCAATAAATGACCGCAAAACTACGCCACCTTCATCTTTAGCCCATCCTTTCTCGTGATTCCGGCACGATATATAAACATTTTTCTGCGAACTATCTTTTTGGCCGTCTAAATTCAACTGAAAAAGTATAAGAATGTTCCTCGAAATTTTCCTGATCGGAGCACCGACACCATTCGGTATGTACGAGCTGCGGGATTTCTGTATCCGCTCAATATTTACGCCGACTCGGACGGCTGGAAATATCAATTTCGAAATTTCCAACCGTTTCTGTCACATATCGAGCAATGCTTCGATTCATTTTCACGCGTACTTTTACGGTGCGAAAGCATTTATAATTCTATGCGGCCGTAAACGACGTAAACTTTGCAGAGAGGAATCAATAGCTTGCCGGCAAAATTTTCCAGTATCCCCTTAAAGTGAAAGTTTTCGCGAAGTATTGTACAAATGTGTTCGATTGATCGCAAGTATCATTTTATGGACGCGTCTTTTTATTTCACCGAGACAAGATTCAACATATTCCGCAAAAATTTCGGACATACATTGTCTCGCTTCTGACGTCATTCAATCAAGATGTCTACACAATAGCCTTAACGCATTCGCTACCAGCGAACATACGTGTGATCACATATGTGTGACAACGAAAAACTTCTTTTTTCTACCACCCACGTTATCGAACTAATAAGTCTGTTGCAAAAATTACATAAACAAAAAAAATACGAGATGATCTATGAAGAGGATTTCTCAAATAAATCTCAGAACGTGTTGAGCAGCTGCGTCTGTCTCTCGATGTATGATGCAAGAAGCGAATATTCTTTCGAGGGGACCCCAAAAGAGCCCAGCGCTGCGATAAAGTATCTTAAGTTTTTCCATCAATAGTACTCACCAGTATTCCACAATTTTTTGATTACAGTTAAGTTTAGTTAGTGCAATGTCCTACGAGTCCAAATGCGGTGGCCAAGTGTTCGCGCAGACCGGCCATTACCGCGGTGTGGTAGTGCGGATAAAGGAGCTGAAGTTCTCGAAGAAAAAAGACATTTCACGGGACGACATGAAGGAATTGCGCATTCTCCGTGAAATTAGACACGATAATCTCAACTCTTTCGTCGGGGCGTGCGTGGAGCCGATGAGGATATTGTTACTTACCGAGTATTGTGCCAAAGGAAGTCTTTATGTACGTCACAGCGTAATCACGATAACCTCCTACTATTATTCGTAATACAGTGAATTATGTATTGGGAACAATATATTATCATGCATAAATAAAAGCCGTACATGCTATAGTAGAGCTTAACGTACGTTTCGTTTCTTTAAAAAAGTCGAAGCTATAAAGATCGAGAAAAACAGAAAGAGAGAACGATGAAGGGAATTTGAACGTACCCATTATGAATGTACATGTCGTGCGTTTTATTTATCTATTTTTTTTTTTCATTATATAATATTTATTTATTTATTTATTTTTCAGGACATTATCGAAAACGAAGATATCAAGTTAGATAATATGTTCATTACGTCGTTAGTTCACGATCTCATTAAGGTAAGTGTTTTTAAAGCAGTGGAAGTTAAAATTACAGTATTGTAAGGTGATTTTAGAAATGACTTCTACCTAAACAGGGTATGCTGTACATTCACGATTCACCTGTGCTAGTCTGTCATGGTAATCTAAAGTCTTCCAATTGTGTCGTGACCTCACGTTGGGTACTCCAAGTCTCCGATTTCGGTCTTCATGATATGCGTCACTGCGCCGAGTCCGGCAGCATCGGTGAACATCAGTATTATCAAAGTAAGCGATTACCCACCATTTTCGCGCCCAATTAAGTCGTGTAAGTGGCGTTGTTTCAGTCATTATTTCGTCTTAATTTCTAGACTTGCTTTGGAAGGCTCCCGAGCTATTGAGAGAACCAAATAATGCGATCAGGGGCACGCAGAAAGGAGACGTTTACTCTTTTGCTATTATTCTCTTCGAGATGATCGGACGGAAGGGGCCGTACGGTATAACCATGGACCCCAAAGGTAACCATTACGCAGGGCCGAGTAATAAGTAGTTACTCAGAAAAAGCTTATAACTTTTTAACAATGACTTTTAAACTAGTTAATTTAAAATACATTAACTTATTAACTTCTTTTTATATATAAATTGAAATACTTCATCAGTATTAAATCATTGTCGGGCTATTTACATGCATTACACATAGAATAAGGATAATCAGAAATAATGCCAGTAGAATTGTTTTTTTGTCTCTTTGAGAGCACTCCTGTTCTTATATGGAATCATAAACACAAAACAGTCGATATTTTCTCATAATAGACTACCTTTCCTTTCTTTATCGTAAATCTAATCTGCACATGGCTTTGCATAATTGAACTCTTAACTTGAATGAGTTAACTTAATATCAACTTAACTTTTAATTCAGCTTTTGTTTAAGTAAATTTTAACTTAAGTTGAAAATAAATTAAATTAGTTTAAATTAGTTAAAAATAAAAATTAATTTGGCCAACTTGGTTATATATTACAATCACTCACGGAGCAGTACCGTGATCACTAATGACCGCCGTTCGTCGCGATTGCGCGCCAGGGGTTGGAAAATAAATCGTGATCATTGATACATCGACAGACATCATCGAACGGGTGAAGAACTACAACCCGAAGGACAAGGAAGAGGACAAGAAGAAACTGCCGTTCAGGCCTGACATAGACGTACTCACCAAGTCTAAAGCGGACTGCGCCGAATACGTAGTGAACACTATCACAGACTGTTGGGACGAGGATCCGAACCTCAGGCCAGACTTTAAGGTGATAAGGAGCCGACTGATGGCGATGAAGGCCGGAACGAATCAAAATATAATGGACCAAATGATGCACATGATGGAGACATACGCGAACAACCTCGAGGATCTAGTCAGTGAGCGTACGCGCCTTCTCTTCGAGGAGAAACAGAAAACCGAGGACCTGCTGCATAGAATGTTACCCAAGTGAGTTATTCTTCGTTTACAAGACGACGCGTGATCCGTAGCGTAGATTGTGCGTTTCCATGAGACACACCTTGTTCGATTGCTTTCAGGCCTGTCGCGAATCGTCTGACGAACGGTATCGGAGTAGAGCCCGAGGCCTTTGATCTGGTCACTATATACTTCAGCGATATCGTCGGCTTCACGGCGATGTCGGCGGAGAGCACGCCGTTCGAGGTATCCACCTTTTTCGCATTCTGTCTTATCGATAGGACGATAAACGTTATCCACGACGTGACTCTCGATAATCGTTTTGCCGGTAGGTTGTAAATTTCCTGAATGACCTGTATACCTTGTTCGATCGTATAATCAAGGGATACGACGTGTACAAAGTGGAGACGATCGGAGACGCCTACATGGTCGTAAGTAGCCTTCCTCTGATGCGTTAATTAATTACAATAATCAGTGATCTCGCGCGACATAGAAGCACACCCTTCAATGCGCAACACACTCTGTGTATATCCAGGTTTCCGGTCTTCCGATAAAAAACGGAGACAGGCATGCCGGCGAGATAGCGTCGATGTCGTTGGAATTACTTAACGCTGTTAAACAGCACACGATAGCTCATCGACCTCATGAAACCCTCAAGCTGCGCATCGGTATTCACACGGGTGAGAAATGGGAAATGGGCGTTTTTAATGATACGTGATATTGCGAGAGTCGACGGAGACGAGATAACGTGAACGTTAAATTATGCAGGTCCTGTGGTAGCGGGCGTTGTCGGTCTAACGATGCCTAGGTATTGCTTGTTCGGGGACACCGTAAACACCGCGTCTCGCATGGAGTCCAACGGAGAGCCATTGCGGATACATATCAGCGGACAGTGCAAGAATGCTCTCGATAAGATCGGAGGGTACATTATCGAAGAACGTGGCTTTGTACACATGAAAGGCAAAGGGGAGGTGAAGACATACTGGCTCACGGGAACCACCGAGAAAGCCATTCAAAAACGAGAGGTTCGTGCGACCAATTCAAACCCTCCAACGAACTCTAAAGGGCCGTCCACAATAGCCGTGAAGTAAGACGTAAGCAGTAAGCTAATTGGCCAGCCACGGTCAATGTATTTTTGGAATATATGAATCCAATTGGTCGATTAGCTTACTGCTTATACCTTGCTGCTTTAGAGATATTGTAAGCAGCCTTTAGGCCTGTTACACCATACGTCGGATGTCGAAGACGCAGCCGACGGTCCAATGAGAAGGCTCGTTTTCGCAAAATAAATTCTCTCAATGGACAATCGGCTGGATCAAATCAAATTCATAGTCGTAACCGTAAGGTCGTAGGCAAATTGATCCACCAGAGTCGATTATTCTTGAACCGTAGGAAGAATAGTCGACTGTGGTTAGCTATTTTACTTGCGATTACGGCTAAAACTTTTTCACGTACAAAGGAAGGATAATTCGCGTGCAGTTTTATCGGTGATTTTCTCTGATGTTTCTCTTTCCTTTTGTCTAAAATCGATTTTTTCGTTCCCGCAGGTCGATGTGGGCGATCTTCCGCCTCTGTTCTGCACACCACGAAGAAGGCAGTCGAACGTACCGCGTCTACTAGCGGATGACTCGTCGTCCCAGTGCGGAGGCTCGAGTCCAGTTCCACGATCGTTCCACGCACCCAAGTTCGAGGGATCTCGCCTGTCTCTGGCTAAGAGCATCTCGAAGACCACGATAGACAACGTGCCGATTCTGGAGGAGGCGCAGGAACGCGCCGCCGACATCAAGTCGGCCTTCGACGATTTCCTCACGGACACCGGGCCGAAGTTCCGGAAAAACGCACGTCTGTCCACCATCGCGTCCTCGTCGTCGACCAGCGACTATCCGTCTCAGCTTGTTATTCGCGAATCTCGCTCGCTGGACCCGTTCCCCTGCGACATTTACAACAAACAGTTCGAGTCGCCGAGCCTCTCCTGGAAGGAGCCCAAAAAGATCTTCTGCTCGTTGGAGAATTGTGTCAAGTTCACGCGGATCAATTCGAAAACGGACATTCCCGAGAAACTGCTGGACAACAATCATCCTAACGGCAATGTGATAATTGTGCCTCATACCGGTGACTCTCCGAACGAAGCAGAAATGCCGTTATTAGGTGACGACGGCGGCTGCATGGGAGAAGTACTACCAATCAAGCGCTGGCGCTCACTGGATCAGGAGATATCCGGGCCTAGCACGGACAGTGTACCTGATAAAAAGTCTTCCGCGCGAAATTCAATTAGAAGTTGGCTAGTTAATCTGTTCAATGGTACTGGATTGCGCAGTAGCGAATATTTAGGGAAAGGGATGGAACGGTACGAGATGCAACCCGAACGCGAAAGTATAGTCTAGCGCACATATGAGCGAGCGAGCGAACGAGAGAGAGAGAGAGAGAGAGAGATGTTCTTTGTTTTTATTTTCTTTGTCTCTTCTGCGACGGAGGGAAGCGAGGGATAGAAATATCGCTTGTAGGACCGGAAAACTGCGCAACTACACGGAGTATATTATTACGTTTACGAGTCATAAGCATGAGTTATTGTTGCCATCTTTTTTCTAGCTTAGTTATGTGCAATTTATGTATATGAAAGTTACCGACATTGTATATTTTTTAATATCTAGATATTTTATAACTTGTACTAAAAAAAACGTGCCCATCGAGGTGATGTAGTAGGAAGCGACTTTTATGTAGCACACACAGGACTGTTCTCTTTAAGATTTTTTAATTCGATTGTGTATAGCGCGAAAGACGCTAGACTATTTTATAAAAATCATGACCAAAGTACAGACACTTCGACCGGCGATTTATTTGGTTTAATGGCGTGAGAAAAACGGAATTTGGGCGGCATCGCGTACGCACACGCACAATCAAACATGCAGCATGAATGTATAAGGTGTGTATATGTATAATACGTTCATTAATACATATGTAAATCCAAGTATATCGTTAATACTGTTATATATGTTATATATATAATAGTATTAATACTATATATATATATAATATTAATATTATATATTAATGTATATATGATATTAATATTTATATCGTATATATATAATATATATTATATACACATATGCATGTACATATGTAACTATGTACACACTATTGTGTGTGTGTGTGTGTGTGTGTGTGTGTGTGTGTGTGTGTGTGTGTGTGTGTGTGTGTGTGTGTGTGTGTGTGTGTGTGTGTGTGNGTGTGTGTGTGTGTGTGTGTGTGTGTGTGTGTGTGTGTGTAACCTCTATATATAGTATCTCTAGTATCTACATTTAATAATACTTGTTCACTGAAGGAAGCAAATTATCCGTATGGCTGTGAAAAGTGAACTAGATTGTACCTAAGGTGCTTAGTAATATATCATGTTGTCAAATGTATATAACTGAATAATAATATATCAATGTAAAGATAAAATATAAATTAAAAGAAATATTATCTTATATAAGAGTCAATTAAAAATTCACATCTTTTCAAATTATCGGTAATTTTCATTAATATTCTATGGTACAAAATATATTTTTTTATATAAGATTTACGATTTTACAATTTTACTTATAGCTGACATTTGCTCATTTATACCTTTCTATGCTTTATATGAACTCTCTTTGCATCTTACTGTTAGAACATAGACATATCCATTTATTCAAGCGATATATATTTACACATCATGTATATAATTTATTTCAATATTTTTCTAAGATACAGGCAGAAGTAAATCTCAAGAACTAACAAAGACAGAATAGAACTAATCAATCTTGACCATTAAGGAATTTCGACATAAAATCAGTTGGCTTCTTTTCCACTGTTTTTTTCCAATAAGTCATAAGATGACTCTTAGGTTTCCATATATTAGCTACTTCTTGTAACTCCATTTGACCCTATTAAAGTATATATAATTTTACATTTAAAAATGTTATATAACAAAATGGTTATTGTTTAATCGTTGCAAAGGAATATTCTTAATAACTTTTATCTATACGATTTTT